AGCATTAGTGCTAGTGTGATTACACCACCAGATGAGTTTCGTTTTTGCCACGGTACATTCCGGTCACTGGCCAGTTTGGGATACAGGGTCTGTATTGAGTTCTTGTAGAACCACTGAGAAGGAGCTTATCTGTCCCAGCAATATTTATGTAACAGAAACACTTTCTGAACTTGAAATTATTAGACTGCAGTCTGTATATGGTCAAGATTTTGCAGCCCGTACAATGAACTGACACAGTGTCATTATGTCTACAAAGAAAGGAAAATTAAGAAGTACAGACACACAAGATTTAATTGCAATCTCAAGTGATGTGGGTAGTGAACCATCTATAATTATGCTACGTAAAAGACAACTGACACTCAAACTGACAAGGTTTCAAGAAAGAAAGGGCCAAGTTACAGAAGTATGCAAAGAGTGAAAAGGGGAGAAAAACAACTGTTAAGAGTAGGCTATCGCATGTGTTTTGTATGTAACGATAACTTTGAATTCAGCCCAAATTTGAACCAGGAACTAAACGTACTGAAGGATCAGATTGTATGTATGAAAGCAAGCAAAGGTTTCTATTCATTCTCAAACCTGCACAGCTGGAACTTCAGCAACAAGAGAAAGAGCAAAGGAAAAGTATATGCGTTTGTTACCCAAATAAACTTTTTGGGGAACAAAATAAATGGCAGAACTCCTCTACTTTAGTATAATGGCACTTAAAGGCCTTTTTAGTGCTCTCAATTGCAGTTTTCCATATCATATTTAAGACAACCCACTTAGATAACTTGCTTGGGTTTGAGAGGCAGCCAGGTGCTGACATACATGGAGAATTCTTTAGAAAGAAATAAAGCTATAGGTAACTACTTAACTTAGATATAGTCAAGATATCATTATAATGATAGGCCTTGATTACGCACTGTTAATTGTATCCCTTGTGCACTATAGCCAAAAGTTAAATAGCAGCTTACAAAAATAACAAATAGGTACAAAAGCATAAATATATTATGTGCTCAGCTGCAATTCACAAGCACTTAAAATAAGCTTATTGCAAGTGAAAAAGTCCCTTTTTCCCTAGACCTGAACAAAATACATTCTATTTTCCTCAGAACACAGCTGATGGTTCTATCCCACATTTTCTGTAAACTAAGTGTAACCCTGTAAGCAAAGCCCATAAGCTACATCACCTCAAAATTACTTCAGAACAATAATAAAATGGTAGTTCAATTGTATGAGGAGTTTTATCCCTATTTATCCCTACTTTTGCAGCACAATTTCTTATTCTGCTCAGAGAATTACAAAGAACATATTGTCTCCTGTGTGTAGGCTTTGCGTAGGTTTCTCATACTTAAAAGCTTGCAATGATATTGGTTAATTGCCAGATTTCAGCCACCTCTCTAACCTCTCCCTCTCAGTGGGCGTGAAAGGGTTTACTTGTAATATATATTACTACTGACGGAATTTTATCTTGTTCTCCTGGATTCTCAGCAGCAATTCCCAAGTTAGAGGCTTCCCCAGAAAGCACGTCAAAGGATTCCCACCCACACACTGAATATCTAACAGGCCCTGACCCATTTTCTCCTTATTAAAGCAGCACTACTTATTTAAAATAAAAATAATAAACAGAGGCTAAATGAATGCAAGAATTGCAGTTGGAACTCTACCCTCTTCAGATTTTAGTTCTGACAAAATCACCATCAAGAAACAAAGAGACACATTTAAATACAATCAATTGCATTTTTCCTCAGTGTTCTCATTCAGTTACTTATTACAGTTGTCTTTTGGTGAAGTACAAGGAAGACTTCATTTATTGGTTCTGAATATTGAAAAGTTCCCTAATTTAGCCATACTTGTCTCCTCTTCTAACCTTATCTTTAGGCATATTTCTTCAACTTCTTGAGCTTTAATAATCCAGTAACTCAGTGACATTAAGGTATAGGATGCTTAAAAGATGAAGCCCCAGAGTGAGTAACGGCAGGAAATACATGATTTTCCTAAGATTATTAACGTTACCTAACCAGAATAAGCAATAGCAATTAACACTAAATATTTCTAATTGAAGTTTTATGGTAGGATGGACTACCGCAAACACTACTACAAAGGCTCAAGATCCATCAGGCAGTTGATATGCCCAAATTTATTAACATCCCCAAATAAACAATTAAACACATGCAATATTTTAAGTAGAAAGAAAATAGCAACAGAAAATTCAATTGACATAGGACTTTCAATTTGTGCACTTTCAGATATATTGGGAATTTGATTTTACTGGTTACAGTTGCATAACAGCCTTTTTCCCACCTTGTGCTGTTGTCTCCAAAGGAAGTGAAGCACTGCAGTAAGTCAAATAATCTCTCCCAAACTAGCAAAGTTAAACTGAAGAGGAGAAAAAAACCCTGGAACAGAAAACGCTGGAGACATTTATACTTGCGTGCTGCAGTTCTTCAGTCAGTTACATCTATGGATGTAACTGGAGGGACAGCCCTACATTTCTGTCAGCTTGCAACTGCATCCTGCCATTGCCGTTTTTAAGACGGCACGACGACTTCTGTGGCCGCCTGGTGAACCAGATGAGGGAACTATTTTATCTGACAGCAGAGCTGACCAGATAAAGATGTCAACTGGGTGAATTCCCTGAGTTTTTGATGCCAACACAGATTTGAATTAAATGGATAAAATTATTATAACAGATAAAAGATTTATTTCTACCATAGTGCAGAATACGGACAATAAAACAGCCCAATATCAGATCAACCATTTTTTAATGAATACTGAATGAAAAAATTCCATTTATGAAATCTCCATATCTCATAACATAAACAAATCCTTTATACTTAAAACTGATTTGTAAGCAAATTCTAACTTTACCTGTTACTTATAAATTATATACTTATGCCTCCTCCTTCCCTTTTTTAAGTTAACCAGCTTTATGCAACTGACTTCCCAAAGATAGCAGGTGAATGATGAGCAGATCTACCATATATAAACATTCTTTTACCTTAACTTTCAACATATTATGAAAAAGTGTATACTTACCTTCTGAAAAAGGATCCACCTGTTCTTTCCAATAGGAAATATAGGAGATGAGGGAAAGCACCAAAACTAGTAAGAACACAGCTCTGTACCTTACAGCATATATTCAAGTGGCATGCAGTCACCTTTCAGCGATTAAGGTTTTTCCCTAACAGCTTAAAACCATGTTATTTAAGAATCTACCTCATTCTAATAACTTGCATCTGTAAAAGTGAACAACACTATGTCTAGAGTCCAAGTAACCAAGTTTACATGATTTTTCTAACAAAAATAGGAACTAGGAGACCTCCTTTGTTTATAAAGCCATAGTAAGTTACATCAACTGTAACACTACATTGATTAAAGTTCATCTTTCCACATCCGTAAGCAAGCAGAGAATTAACAATATCAATCCCTGGCAGAACACCTGTAAAATCTCTTCATTTACCTGAAAAATAAGCTTCACAGGATTGCATAGGATACTTTACAGATAAACATACATTGAATCAGAGAACTGTTCATCATTGTCTTTGTGAATGTTTCTGAAAACCTTTTAGATATAAGATTAGCTTTAATTTGGACTACATATCTTTTTTCCCTCTGACACAAAGAACAGAAGATTTTACAACTCCAATGACATCTGGTGGAGTTTGCAGGCTTAGTTTTAAAGAAAATGAACTTTCCTTGCCAATATTCTCCACACTGTTCTGTCAAAAGGAGCATTCTCTGGAGAAATAACAGTGGAGAGAGGAATTCCACAAATTTGTAAGTGTATACTGCATGTCACTTCAGCTCACAAAGAACTGAAAATTTACAGAAATATATTAACTGGTCTTAGAGACTGGGATGACTAGAAACTAGGCTATGTTTTCTTCTCCCATGTTTGCATTTTCCCACGGGGCCTCTGACTATGACACTTGGAGAAAGGAATGCACAGTTTAACCTTTTCTTTTAGAAAAAGTGAGGAACACCTTTTGCATCGATTGAATGCTATTGCTGGTTTAGAACTCCAGTTTACGTAGGGAAA